GTGCTGGTCCAGTCTGCTTTATGTTGGTATAGTGCTGGTCCAGTCTGCTTTATGCTGGTATAGTGCTGGTCCAGGCTGGTATAGTACTGGTCCAGTCTGCTTTATGCTGGTATAGTGCTGGTCCAGGCTGGTATAGTGCTGGTCCAGTCTGCTTTATGCTGGTATAGTGCTGGTCCAGTCTGCTTTATGCTGGTATAGTGCTGGTCCAGTCTGCTTTATGCTGGTATAGTGCTGGTCCAGGCTGGTTAATGCTGGTATGGTGATGGTTAGTGCTGGTCCAGGCTGGTTTATGCTTGTTAGTGCTGGTTAGTGCTGGTCCAGGCTGGTTTATGCTGGTTAGTGCTGGTTCAGTCTGGTTTAAGCTGGTTAGTGCTGGTCTAGCTGGTGGACCAGCATATTCATGCTGTTCTCAATGTGCATGTACCATATAAAATAAACAAAGCCAAACTGGATTGTAATAAGTTAATATTTTAATGCTGTTTTTGGTGTTGTTTAATCATCCTCTGTGAGTTATTGAATTTTCAGTTGATTTCATCTAAGGCTGTGTGGCTGTGAGTCAGTTGTAGTTGTGTTTCTGCTCGTCTCTCCTCTTTTTTATGTTCTTGTTGTTTCTCTTATTTTCAGTGATTCTGTTTGTTAACTGCAGGGGTCTAATGCTCAATCATCACTTGTATAGTGAATTTACTTTCTTTCACTAACTGCAACATTGCTTCAGTGTTACTTTTACTCTCTACAGATTAGGACCATATGAAAACTGAGCAAAACCTGAGTGTTTGTATAACACTGCGGATTTTACATGTGTACCAGTAAACATGTAACCAGCAACGTGCATTTTCTTTATTAAATAATAAATAAAAATTAATTTGGAAAATTGTCTTGGTCTTATGAACACACACTAAGAAAATTGACATGTAACACATAAGCAAGTTTTGTTTTGGTCTTGCTGGGATCTCAAAAAACAACAAATGCTGGTCCACCAGCACTCCAATCTGGTCCCAGCATGCAAAACATACCTTATGCTGGTGACCAGTGCTGGATTTTTCAGTAGGTTAATTAATGTTGTCAGATTTTGCAAAGATTGGGAATGCTAAAATAGACAGACATGGCTAATGAAGACACAGATGTGCTGAAGTTAGAACGCCACTAAGGTCTAGACAGACAACTTGACATTTTATTATGTGTGAACAAGGCCTTTAAGGGGAATGTTTTGCAATTTGGATGCTAGTAATTGCTCTGGATGAAGAACGTGAACTTAATCATGTTGTTGCTGCAAGGTTTATTAGGTAATTGTCATCAGGGTGAAGATCATTTTATCAGTGCTTTATTAACAGAATTTGTGTTACATAGGTGTAATATTGTAGCCTGGATGCCAGCCCGAACCCCCGCCCACAACATTTTTTGAGTAGAATATGAGTATGACGAAGTCAGGCTAGTAATATTGTATGGGTAGTTGACATTTAAAAATGAAAATTAAGAACACACCAACATCATACCTATCAAATGAAACATGTTGAAATGAAAATAAATAAATAAATATGACACCTGCATTTCCATTTCCTTTTACCACAAAATTGACCAAATAACTGGCTGTTCAGAATATCCAATATATCATCATTCTATCCATAACTTTTTTTCAAGCAAAATCTCTTTATTCACAGTTTTAGTCATAGGTTTTATAAATAAATTAGTCAGATTAGTTGATTGTGTCGCTAAAAACATATATTTGTAAATTACAAACAAATATTTATTTTATATGTGAACAAGGAAAAATATACCAGGAAATACACTATATGAGCTCAAAATTCATATCTGAGCTAAAGGACAGATTAAATTCATCAAGTGTCAGTAAAGACATTTATAATTTTATTTCATATAAATGCTTTTTTGTTAGTTTTTTTCTATTTTCTATTCATCAAAGAATCCTGAGAACTGTCCTGATTTTCAGAAAAATATAAAGCAGCACAACTGTTTTCAACATTGATAATAATAAGAAATGTTTCTTTAGCAGCAAATCATCATATTAGAATGATTTCTGAAGGATCATGTGACACTGAAGACTGGAGTAATGATGCTGAAAATAAATTCAGCTTTGACATCACAGGAATAAATTACATTTAATATTATATCACAGTATCACTGTTGTTTATACTTTATTTTGGATCAAATTAATGCAGCTTTAGTGAACATAAGAGACTTTTTCAAAAACATCACATTTTGAACGGTGTTGATATATTTACTGCATACAGTATGTAATGCCAACCAAACATATCAACTGGCATTACACCAAAGTAATTATATGAGTCAGTACATATGATCCAGTTTGCGAGAGGATGGCATTAGATAGCGTTTTCCCAGGAAGAATTACATAACAGCTCAACAGCGACAAAACTACACACTCCGAATCAGGAGAGAAATAGCAGTTAAAGGACAGAAAGAAAGGAGTCATGCTAACAGTGCCTCCAGTTGTCATTTTCTCTTTAAACACAGGCAGAACAAATGATCTCAACACACACAATACAGTCCTGACTTTGGCTCCACTGGCTCTTCTCAACAGATAGCATGTCCATCGCCCACAGACATGGAGGCTGTATTATATAAAGCCCTCCTGAAACCCTGGCCGCTGCAGTGATGACAAGACTCCACATATCTTACTGTGCATTTACACACACACACTTTCCATAGATTTTTATACTGTACAAACTGTGTATTCTATTCCCTTACACAAACCCTATCCTATCCATCACCCAAAACTTTCTGCATTTTTTTAATTTCAGGACAGAAGTGTCTGACTATTTGGTTTACGAGCACATGAAGAATCCTCATATACAATGTTTTCATTGTAAAACCCATGTCATTATACAAATTTGTGTCCACAAACCACATATACAAGAACACGAACACGAACACGAACACACACACACACACAGTACCTAAAAGCACATTCTCTAGACACTATGACCCCTGAACTATTTTTAGCACGGCTAGTGCTGAGAACTTCACTGCTAAGAGATGCATTCAGAAAAGTATGAAAATAGTTTGTTATTTAAAGAACCCCGACAAACACTGTAGAGGAAGTCATCTCTAGACAAGACAGAATAAAATACCACATTAGGTGATGAAAACAGTGAAAGTCTTGCTTATGTGAACATCAAAACAACAGATATACAAGGAGATAAAGGCTCCTCCTCAGTGCTTGGAAACATAAACAGTTTCTTGAGTTCAAATGCTGGATATGTTTTCCTGATGTAAATCTATCGATAAAGACTCAAATGGGCAAGACAAATCCTCCCACACAGACGCCAGCAGCCAATCATAAACACATTTCTCTATCTGATCTAATTAAAATAGATTTTTAGTTAACAGCTTTTGTTAAAGATCCACGAAGGGCAATGGGCCGTGAGTAGGAAGTGTTTTAGCTGTGTTAGTTGTGGGGACACACAATGAATAGCTGTGTGTACAATCTAATAACTAGTCGATACAACGTCAAAGTGACCTTTGCTGTGACATTGTGATAACTGATCTGTGGTATTGTATAACTATAAGAGAATTTCAAGCTGACATATGTGGTCAGCGAGGGATTACAGGACCGTCTTACACAAAAAAACTGCATTTGCTTGAGCACATTTCAGTCAAGGTGAGGGGGCTGTGTGTATTCAGGAGGCTATTCCCAGGCTCAAGAGTAAACAGAAATACTGCAGGGCAAAGAATTATGTGATAACAAAACAAAACAAAAAAAACATTGAAAATGGCAATTAAATTAAAGATTAAAAAAATTAAACTGTTTTATAGTGCAAGCTAAATTCATTGTGCATAGCCTACTAGAATTTATGATGCATTCATTAAGATTTTATTGCTATTATTAGTGTGCATACTACACTAACTTTTGCATAGTAAACGTTCACATCATTTTGACATAGGCTAATCATTATGATGTACGTACTGATAAAAGCTCATCAACCACGTGGGTGAGAATTGAGCCCACGAGCACAGACCACAATGGATTAATTAGGCACGTTTTAAATTAATACCGCCTCCGTAGTCCGTACTGCGGGAGTCAAATATAGTGAAACGATACAACAGCGGCAGCACGCGGTCAAACAGTGTTTGCATGTAAAATAAGTAAATATATAACACATTTTCAGAGGGAAAAAACGATTATGAAAAAAATATCATACATCTAATTTGATGTGCAATCCATTTTGAAAGCATAAAACGCATACACATTTATTTAAAAATATCTTATAAATAACCGGAAACGTAGATAAAAAATAAACTAACAACATAGCATTTGCATATGATATTTCTGGTTTGATGATTTTTAAAGATTGTATGCATATAATAAATATTACATATTTAATTCTCTCGTTGACATTTTTTTTTGTATATATGCAATGGAAAATAAATCTAAAATATTTGTGTCATCTTGTACGATGCTCAAAAATTCATAGATACATACGTAGAAGCCAAATTCGACCTCTTCAGACACGTCGGCGCGCCCGCCATGTTAGAACGGTCAGCGTGTCATGAGACTGTAAAAAAATAGGTCGTCACTCACAGCTTCTCTTTGTGAAACCGCCGAGATTTAAATTCCCGAAGAAATGGGATAACCTTCCACAGGTGAGATTGTGTGTGTGTGTGTGTGTGTGTGTGTGTGTGTGTGTTTATGCATTAACTAAATTTTACAGGTTTTTAATATATGGTAACTTTTTAAAGTTGTGTTTGTTTGCTAATCCCCTCGTCTTGTTGTATTGTGTTATTTAGTTGAACATTATCATCTGGTGGACTATATTGTAGATATAGACAATCATATATACATGCGTCTAAATAACAACGGTTGCAGAGTCGACGACGCACAGTCAACTCGCTCTCGAATGTTCACGGCTTTGACCGTTCCAATATGGCGGATGACTTACCGGTATGTACTTTACTGTCTATGTTTATGTATTGCTATCGAGCATCTATGTATATATTTCTATGCTTCAAATGTCTTGGTAGGTACTAACCGGAAGCGGAAATAGCGAGGGAGCGGTTGACAGCTGCTGGATATCATCAGAAGGGGTTCTCGAACAAAACAATTCAATTGTGCAGAAATGGAGCTGTGTGAAATATTATACAACAAGGCTGAATACATCGAGACGGTATGCGAATATCGTCGATAATATCCTTCAGCTGAATCAAGCGGTTGCAAATATTAAATTCAGAATTAACTGACTGACTAGTTTGTATCTGCAAACCGAATGTGTTTTCTAATAAACAAAGTGTTGTTTTGACATAACTTACCAGTCACTAAACGTCTGTAACAGTTGCATATGGTGTTTATTTAATTAACGTTACTCAGATCAGCCCACAGCTGGACCGTCATATGATGGTAACGTGCACATTTGATCTCTCTAGGCATCAGGCAACAAAGTCAGCAGACAGTCGGTGCTTTGCGGCAGTCAAAACATCGTCCTCAATGGAAAAGTGAGTTTTTCCCCCCGTTGTTTCGTTCTGTTATTTTCACCAGTGTGTTAACTTTGTGAAATGGGCTGGGTTTTTTTTTTCAGACCATCGTGATGAATGACTGTATCATCAGAGGAGATCTTGCTAATGTCAGAGTTGGGCGCCACTGTGTCATTAAAAGCCGTAGTGTGATCAGACCACCGTTTAAGAAATTCAGCAAAGGGTGAGTAAAGCATGTGCATTCTCGCAGAAAATGATTTCACCAAGTGCAACATGTTCCTGGATCAACATCTTTTTTTTGATCCTGGAACAACATTCCAATCAACCAATCAGATTTGAGGGACACATTTACAGTTTGTCAAGTTTAGACTTATAACCAGTGTTATTCACCTATCATTTCCCTCTGACTTTTAGCATAGGTGTAGGGGTAGTTATATGATTAGGATAAAATTTTCGGTTCCTGTTGTTCCAGGATCAACAAAATACGTTGACACAGGAACGCGTCAAATCAGGACGTGCCTGTATTCTCTCTAATAAAATTGAATTTGTATGATTTAACTTGCTTGTGTTTTTTCTGTTTACATTAGAGTGGCTTTCTTCCCCTTGCATATTGGGGACCATGTGTTTATAGAGGAGGACTGTGTTGTCAACGCTGCTCAGATCGGATCATACGTCCACATTGGCAAGAACTGTGTGATTGTAAGTATCCCCCTCATCGGTATCCTCTCATTTGTTTTGTGGGCGTGACATTTGCAGTGATAAAGCATGTTTTTTCAGGGTCGGCGCTGTGTCTTGAAGGACTGTTGTAAGATACTGGATAATACTGTCCTTCCCCCAGAGACAGTGGTTCCTCCATTTACAGTTTTCTCTGGCTGTCCAGGTCAGCACCTTCAAATACATCGTTATTTTTTTTTTTATATGAATTTATAATGTTATGAATGTGATGCATTTTTTATTGTTACTTATAAATACTGTTAATTATTATTGTAATCTGGTAATGTAATTTAGTGAAGTGAATTTATTTTATTTATATCATGTCAACAATGAATTTTAGAAGTGATTTAATATCACTTGCTAAATGTAAGCTTCTTTGTCATTCTGTATTTCAGGTTTATTTTCAGGAGAGCTCCCTGAATGTACCCAGGAACTGATGATCGACGTTACCAAGAGTTACTACCAGAAGTTTCTCCCTCTCAGCCAGATCTAGGACTAAACTTCAATTTGTGCCTCGCTCACTTTTTCATTCTGGGACCAAAGGAACTAATATTCCCCAGCCTTAGGTCACAATTGTAAATCTCAAAATGCTACTTAATTCTGTTCACAGTTGCAGTAAAAATCCCCTGCTGTGTTCATGGCTATGTTAACATAGAATATAAAATTTAAGAATATGTGTATTATACGCAACCACCACAAATCTCCTGCTTTTCATGTCAGAATTTTTAGATTTCTGTTAATGTCTCATACCACTGTCTTGTTTGCGTGGCTGGGAAAAATATCACAACACAGTGATAAGTTGTTAGACTGAAGGACCTTTATTTATTGAACAGTACAATTTCTGCAACACTAAACCTTTTCTGTGTGCAAAGACAGATTACAGATGGTAATAAATGTTTTGTTTTTTATAAAGAAAAGAGCATATGTACTGACTCATTTTAAGTGGTCACAGCATGTTTTGGGGGCATTTACTAAACAACACTCCTTTAGTAAAGTGCGGTCACATTAGTAAAAACAATTTCTGCAAAAAAGGTCTATTGTCAATAATGTAACAATGTATGAAGCATAGCTCACACAGAGATCACTTTCAAATCAAGCAACTTTCTGTTGGTCGAAGCAGTTGATCCATGTGACCAACAGGTACCCTTTGATAGAATCTGCATGGTAAGATCTTTCCCGCGAGCAAAATTCTCTATCATGTGGATTCCTATTGAAATGACTGGATTTTCAAAACTCGCTGTACAACGGTTAATGACAGCCTGCCACTGTAGCGGTGTACAAATGTTATTTAACGGTGTAAGGAACAGGATGACATGCAAGAAACATACTCTGTAGATAGATGCACTAAATTTCATTTTCAAAGCTACACTTTCAGTTTTTGAGGTAGGGATCGTTCAGTCTATTTTAAGCAATGGATTTCTACAAACATGCTTCACACAATTCAAATACATCCATGTATAGTGTCACTTGCTATAACTTGCCTGTTTATATAGTGGAAAAAATGGTCTTGGCCCCTTCTAGACTGCAACAAAAAAATAATAAAATTATTGAAAAACAATTGATTTAAAAACAAAAATGTTAAAAACATAACAGATGTGCATTCATACAATGAACAATACCATTTGTACACATAGCATACTTGAAAGAGGTAAAGATACTTAATAGGGATTTTTTTTAAATGTTATGCTACCTTTCTTCTGACACTTCTTTTGTTTTTCAAATTAAGTACCGGTATACTCTGCTGTTCAAAAGTTGGGGGTCAGTATGATTTTTTTTTCTTTCTTTTTTTAAACAAAATGTATTATTTAATTCAGCAAGGATACATTAAACAGATTGTTACAAAAAGTTTCAATTTCAAATAATAAATCCTTTTCTTTTGTACTTCCTATTCAAAGTATTCTTAAACAAAATGTATCGCAGTTTCCACAAGAATAGTAGCTTTGATAATAAGAAATTTGCCTTGAGCACCAAATCAGCATATTAGAATGATTTCTGAAGGATTGGAGTAACGGCTGCTGAAAATTCGGCTTTTGCCAAATTCCCTCTTTACAGGAATAAATTACATTTTAAAATGTATAGAAAACAGTTCATGTAAATTGTAATAATATTTCACAATATTACTGTTTTTACTGTAATTTTGACCAGCCTTGGTGAACAGAGGCTTCCTTCAAAAACATTTTAAAAAATCTTACAAACCCCAAATTTTGAAAGCCAGCGTGGGGGGTCTCCATAATGCACTATGACTCACAGTGATCTTTTTCATACACAGATCGGCCAAATGCTTTAATACTCCTTTATGCCTACACTGTTGTTAAGGAGGGTTGGCCTTTTAAAGAAGAGGGTACCCCATAAGCAGCCTGCAGCATAGCTTCAGCAGTTTACTGGTAAAACAGTTCCTCAGTCCAGATTCCATTCACATAACCACTGCTGACACTGTGCCTGTTGCTCCTCACTCTCCACTGGGTAGCTGCTGCTCCTGTGCACGGGCTCTGGGTCTTCTTGGATCTCAGCTTGTGGCTTTGTTAAAATACTCTTCAGTAAATCCTCCAGAATGTTCACACATCTTTGTGGTGCCCATTTGGAGTCAAGGCTGGGTACAGAGGGATCTGGGGCTATGACATGGATGGGTTCATTCTCTAGTGGAATGTCCAGGAAGTAGGCGTGCAGCATCATGCGATACGGAGCATTGTCTGTGCGTAGACTGTAGGTATAGTCGCCCACTATGGGGTGACCAATGGCACTGCAGTGCACTCGGAGCTGGTGCGTCCGTCCTACAAAGTTAAAGAAACTTAAACTTTTTTTCATTTGACACATCTATATTTTTTTCTGTACTGTTGATGGTACTGTACCTGTCAGAGGCTGTAGAAGCACTTTTGTGACTGGATTTCCGTCATATGCTCCATACTCTAAAACGGTGAGCTCTGTTTGGCAGGGCTTGGGATTCTCACAACCTACCGTATATGACACGAAATATACACACGAATGTGTTTCAGTTAGTTTAATTATAATGTTTAATCCTGAAGCAAAAGAGATTCTGACCTTCTGTTCCTTCAATGCACATCATATGGGTCTTGCCCTCTGTTGTGTTCTTGCCAATCGCAAAGTCCAGGGTCATTTTCTCCTCAGCCACAACACCACGGACCTGCACAGGACATATAAATAGACTGTTATTAGGAAAAACCTTCTATATTCACAGGATGTCTTAATGTACCAGGACGTACCAGTGCAAGATAAGCTTTGGTAACAAGTCTGTCTTTAAAACAGCGGTACGCATGCCCTGCTGCTGCCTTGTTCAGAGCCACACACAAAGCACCACTGGTAGAGAAATCCAACTGGTGGCAAAACCTGCAGAATACAACAATGCATATCAATGAACTGCTGATAAGACAAGTGATGGTTTAAATTATTGTTGGTGTCAGCTTATCGCAAAGTAACAGAAACACCCGGGAAAAAGACCTGAAGCCGTAGTAGGTGTAAGGATCTGCAAGCTCTGGGAAGCGATGCTTTAGCTGACTCTGGACCGTCTGCTTCTCATACCACATTTTGCTGTCAATACGGATGTCCCAGTGTTTGTTGACAACTATATAGTTTGCACTGTGGTACAAAACACACAAGTTTTCCAGGCTCGCTGGCTCCATGGTCTCTATATCTTCTGCAAAGCAACACCAAGGTTATTCTGTATCATGGTATATCAACAAGTTTTTACATTATATGTAACATATTAAAGGTGCAATGTGTAAAAAATTTGAGTATCTATTAACAGAAATGTAATATGACATCCATAACTATGTTTTCAGCGGTGTATAAAGAACTTACTGTTAACCGTAATGTTTTTAATACCTTAGAATGAGGCATTTATATCTACATAACCACGGGCACCCCCTTCTATGAAGGTCGACATATTGTGACGTCATGTTTCTACCGTAGCCGACAGCGAACAAACAGCGCTACAGAGCGCGTTTCGTCTCTACCTTGAAAGAGAAGCAGCAGAAAGCTAGAAGCCATAAACACCGTGAGTAGTGACTTTTCCCTTGTCAGTGGTGTAAAATATGTAGTTGGATTGTTTCATGTAACTTAGTTCTTCTCCCTCGCTGTGTTATGGCTTTGCTATGTGGGGATAAATGTGCTGGTTACGTTTGTGAGACAGCTGATTAGTACTCTTGTCATTGACCGTATAACAGTAACGTTACAGGAGTCACCAACCCGTCGATCTTGGAAGCATTTTAAATCGATCGCGAAGAGTTTTCAAAATCAGAGAAAAAAAAAGCCTATTGTGTGTAGTAAATGGTGTCTAGGGGATGCGGAGGCGCGCGCGCTGTTACAATCATGTCAATCATTTCACAATCATTTTTGCCGCCCGCACCTTTGGGCTCATGCGGACGCATCGAGTTTAAACAAGACTTTACGCTTTAACCAGCTCAGCCACAGTAACAGCTCATATTTAGCCAGCTAAACTTTTACTACCCTGTTAGAAAAATATATATAGTTTCATATGGTTCTTCTCCCTCGCTGTATGGGTGTGCTATGTGGGGAGAAATGTGCTGGTTACGTTTGTGAGACAATCAGCTGATTACTATTATTATATTATATATTAAGACCCTTGATCCTCACCTGACTATGGCTTTGTAAACTTTATCCATGATGTGGTTTATAATGGACTGTGGTACAGAAACAGTGACAATGTTACACACTCTTGGCTTACTCTGGCTAATCTCTGCTGTCTCAGACGACGATATGTTTGTCCCGTTTTAGCCACTGTAGCTTCTTCGAAAGGGAGGGGTGAGCAGTGGGCTGAGCCATTAGTGCAACTGGCAATCGAACCGCTAGATGTCACAAAAAAATACACACTGCACCTTTAAAATATTCCATATGTAAGTATCTTTTTGAAAAACAATATAAAACTGCTATAAAAAACAAATACCTGCTTTAACTGTTGTTGTGCAGCATGCTGGTTGTAGATTATTTACGTCAGTCTTCCGTTTATTTTGTCTCGGCACGAAGAAAACCTTCTACTTTAGAGAAAGCATTAGTTCGTACCATAGACAGGTTCGTACACGGTTTCTTCAATCATCTTGCAAAAAGTACTTTGACGTTTCTGGCTATTATAGGGTAGAGCAAAGAAATTTACTTTGAAAGACCATAACTGTACGATCCTATCAAGACAGTTAAAGAAACATGAAAAGCCGTAGTCTTTTACTGTCTATATGCGTAACTGGCAGCCATGATTGGTCCTTCTTCTTCTGATTTTTAATGGTGGTTGGCAAAAACTTTTTGATGTGCATTACCGCCACCTTCTGAAATGGAGTGTAGATCAAAATAGCCTACTTTACCCGCTACAAAAAAATAAAATAAATACATAAATTAACTAAATAAAACTATTAATAATAATACATTATTATTCACATCATTATAGACACAATTTTAATAATAACTAAACTCATATCCTTCTAATAAGCCCAGTCCCCCCCCCCAAAAAAAACTAAATATTGCTCTATACCCCACATGCCCTGAATTCAGTTGTAATACTTCCTTAATGTCAAATCAATTTTTTTTCTTACTTAGCATATCTTTCAGAATCATCATTTCCTGCTTGTACCTAAGACAATTAATAATTACATGTTCTGTTGACTCTATACTATTCTATAATACTATTACACTGCTCACACAACCCAGTTTCATGTTTCCCTTACTAAAAGGTGCCTTATCGCTAAATTAATTGATGAAGAAAAAGAATGCCTTAATCTAGAGGATGTGACACTTTCTTAAAACCCCATGTCTTTTATTTCCTTTATTTATTTATTTTATTTGTATTTTCTTTATCCTATGTTATCTGAGAAGACATTTCATATGTTGTAACAGGCCAATTGGTTGTTAATAATATTCAAAAAAAGAAAGAAAAGAAAACTAAAAAAAAAAAAAAAAAAAAAAAAAGGTGCCATGATTGGTTCTTCTTCTTCTTCTGTCTTTTATTGGCAACCACACTAAACAGTGCATTACTGCCATCATCAGGTAGCTTGGCTCAAAAAACATTTTCCTATTCCTCTTAACACTTTCTAATCATCCCCACTACATAAAAATAAAAATAAAACCCTACCCACTGTCGCTGCGTGTTCAGCTCCTCCAGTTTCCACCCCCATTCCCTTTAACTTCCAACAATTCACTATATCCTACCATGATTGGTTTCAAATTAAAAGCCTTATTATTTCATGTTACACATATACAGTATTGCATAATTTAAATGGTCATATATATTAATCATTTACATATAACTTTAATAAATAAATTAAACGAGGCGGGTAAATTTTTTTTAAATTAATGTAACGTCCGATTCGTGTTTTGGTTTTAATTAATCTTTTGAGTCGGATCTTTTCAATGAATTGGGTTCGTTAGCAGTGTTCCACCGTTCGAAAGAACCGATTCGCGGAAAATAGTCGCACTTGCGCTGACCGGCGCTGACAGAGTGCGCACGCGCATGTCAAACTTATGTCCAGTGACTGTCGCAGTGAATTGTGGGATAGAAATTCACAGACATGGCGTCCCGTGCGCTTGCACACTGTGTGCGCTCCGTCGTTCGCGCCTCTGCAAGGTTAAATCATGGCAACATGCTAGCACGATCCGCCTGCGCGCCCCTCGCCTCAAACCAGCGAGCTCTCTCTGCCGTTTCACGCGGCCAGCGGACGAGGTGGACTGACCTATTGCGGGTGAGAGTTCTGCAGACGGGGGATGTTTGTGTGTGTGTGGCCTACTGGTGCTGGATTACTCAGTGACCTACCTGTGTCTTTCCGACAATCTATTCATGCATGACAGCGGGCAGCCATAGTCTCAGTTAAAATAGTGTGCATTCACAACATACATCTACAACATCAGTGTGACCTGCAAGATTTTAAACACATGATGTCATAATTATTTATAGTAGAAATAGCTACTAGTTAAGTTAACTTAATAAAACGCACTAGGAGAATACATTTTATCACTGTCACTGTGCATCTTCACTGGCGGTTATTGCTCTGCCAGTCTCTTTGCGTCTATTATTGTAGCTATTATTAAAGGAATAATTAACGAAAAATTAAAATGCTATCATCGTGTCATTCCAAAACGCGCATGACTTCATTCTGAGGAACACAAAAGATGTTGGACATAGTCACAGACTCTTCATTTGACTGTATGGTAAATGGTGACCAAAGCTATTAGTCTCTAACATTCTGCCCAACATATATTGTTTGCTGTGAAACAAAAGCAGACATGTATGACAGTTTTCATACCTTCACTTGGTAGAGGGAGATTATTTTTATTCTAATGATCATTGTGTAGTATAAATATTTGGTCTCTGCAAATTGCTTGATATTTTTCTCATTTTCAAGTCATAATGTAAATGTTTGGATGTCTCTAGATTTCAGGCCCGTCTGTTCATCTGTGTCGGCGTTACGGTGATCTTCCACCCCTCACTTTAGAGACCATCCAAGACCGTGTTATGTACGTCCTTAAACTGTATGACAAGATCAGTCCAGATAAGGTGAGAGATACGTCACGCCTATTGTACTGTAACATTGCATGGGTGCACTGAAATTTGAAGGTAAATTGCATACCTGCCTGCCACATTTCATTAATTTTTCTGTGTGGATATACAGATTTATTGTTACTGGATTTGCTTGGTTTACATTTGAGATATGCATATTCCCAGCATCAATCTCTGACATGATTGACCTTTTTTTCCCCCTCCTCAAGCTTCAAACATCATCTCATTTCATGAAAGATCTGGGGCTGGACAGCTTGGACCAGGTGGAGATTATCATGGCTATGGAAGATGAGTTTGGTTAGTAGGGGTTTGTTTATCTAGTATTAAAGCATTTAACAACTGTCACATCTTATAAGCATTGAATTCTGAATTCAAATTCCACAGGATTTGAGATCCCAGATGCCGAGGCGGAGAAGCTTATGACTCCTGAGGAGATCGTAAAGTACATTGCGGATAAAAAAGATGTGTATGAATAGAGGTAAGTCTTATGTTACGTACGCCCTGTCTTGTGAGCTATAATGCCTAGATTGTAGGTAACTTATGCATGCTTGGTAATTGTATTTTTATGATCCTAAAATATTGTTTTTCTTTCCTCATTTTCACAGATGGAAGAATTGACTATGTATTAAACAATACGAATGTGGATCAGCTGTATCGTTGTCCAGTTTCTGTCTCTTGCTTATGGTGTCAACTGCCTTGTCATGTGTACTGTTGTATTTAATGAAAATGTCACTATAAACTCTTGGGAACTTGAGCTGAAAATAAAGCCAAGACTAAATTGTAATTCTTTGGTTTGTCATGCCACAAGTGAAGCCTCTCACTGGTCCCTCTGCAGGAAGGGCAGTAAAACGGCTACTTAATTTACAAGGTCAGTGCCACTTTGTGAATGTCAGTGCAGATCCTTAAAGCTGCTGTTTTTTCCATCGAAAAATTGCATCCTTCACCAGATGTCTGTAAGCAATTCGTAAGTTGTTTCAAAATGTGTGGCGCTTCCAACACTACTTTGAGGCAGGTAGTAGGTGAGTGTTTAGGAAATCTCAAGGTCCCACACTTTCTGACCAGCAAGTTTCCATGACATCTGCTTATGACTACTGGATAAAGATTCTTAAAAATCATTCAAATTCAGGCTGATTCACTAAATAATATAGACTGATTTGAGGACCAGTTTGGTTCACATCCACAACTTGTTCAGGCCTCAAAGTCATGTTTGAAAAGTATTTCTTGGAGATTTATTTGGTGGCACAGAAATTATACTGCACCGTTGAAGGTGTATTAGATCTTTAACATTTTACTGGCCAATAGAAAACTGTTCCATAATGACAACTGCATGTGACATCACCCTTGATTTATGATTTAGTATTGCAGCAGTACTAAGCCATCTCAAGATAGTCCACCTTTATGTAAAATAAAACTACTTTTTCAAGGCCACTGTTTGACTAGTCTTTGTCATGTAAACATATGTGATAAGCCTCTTTTAAAAGCACTATATTTTTTTGTGCGTATGTAATCACTACCTTATATACCAGTGGACAAGACATGGATGCTAATGAGCCAGTGTTATTTGTATTGTGAATGAATGAGGCATTTATACTACTGTACACCCAAAACGCTTTACAATCACATCAGGGAATCTCTCAACCACCATTGAGATCAAAAAACATGTCTAAAGAGTTATTTTAGAACATCAAGTTATGAAAACCAGAAATGTTGCTTTGGCAACTGCTGATTTTTTGGGGGATATTTTATTTCAAGTAACACACCTCTAAACTCTTTAAATCATGCCGCTATATATTCTTTTCCGTTGTTAATTGTCCTCTCCTCCAATCGTGCCAGAGTATAGTTTGGGAGGAGGTGACAGAGAGTGAAGGTACTTAAAGGGGCAGTACAAAAAAATAAATAAAAATATATTGCTACATGTTTTTCATGTTTTTGGTTTTAGGAAACTATAACAACCCTGTAAATGAGTCATGATTGTCTTCAACATTTTCTTTTGGAGCCCTCCAGAGGCAACGGAAGATGTAAGATTGAGTGTTTTCCAATTGCATTTGCAGTAAAAGTATATTCAAGAAAAAGAGAGAAAAAAAACAACATTGCACACCATGTCACTGTTAGGCTTTATTGCGGGTTGTACCCAAGTTATACAGCTTTGTATTCCGATATTAAGATCAGGACTTTACAAACAGTTATCAGTCTACAAGTACAGCCAACAAAAGACCTAAAAACTACTCTATTACCTCAACTACCTCGTTACATATGCACTTAAGGGTACTAAAATTGAAAACCAAGCAACAAAGAAGGAAAAAAGAAAAACAGCATTACAGGAAACATTCATCACTACACATTTGAGTATCTACCATGTATTACTAGACTAAACCTTGTGTCAATTGTTACCAATACAAATAAGGATTGTCCTTCAAAAAGTGCAGTTCCCCAAGTTAAAATTCTAAGATGACCCCAGGAAGACGCTGAAATGAACTTCCTGCTCATTTAATTTATCTTATTGATGTTTGTTTCTATTCATTTTCAAACAGTCTATCAAAGCAGTGTGCATATAGGTTACATGTGAGCAAAACTATTTCTGGATAGACCACTAGAAAAATTTGCCATTCCACAGCCCGTTCAGTGAGGAGCGCTGTGAAAAAGGAAATGTTAATGCAACCCTCCATTTGCTACATCTGGCCAATTTTTGTGACAAAAATAAAAGAAATTTTTGAATCATGGCACATTACAGGAATCGTATTTTTAAATCCGACCCACTACCGTGGTCAGGATTTCATTGAGCAAAGACACAAATATGGAAGCCTCACCCTACACTGCATAGACTCTCTTAGAATTTCCCCATGGTGGAAGCTTAGATTTAAACTCTCGTTCGTCCATTTCTTGTGCTGGTTTTACTAAAGCTTTTTGGGTTTATAATAACATGACAGCAATACTCACAGTTTAAGTCAATTGCCTTAGCACATTGTTCAACAGTAGGAACCATTTAAAAGACATGGGTATATTTGCTCACAGGATAAATCAGAAAAGAATGACAATTTCAGTACAAAAGTAGAATGTCAGGCCAAGTCACTTTTTCATTTCCTCCAGGTTCAACCTATAAAAACGGGGATTGTACATTGCTCATGAATATCCTCAAAACATCCATTTTGCAAGTGACATTTGAAGCATATACATTGTCCAGCTTTTACAAAACAAATCCCTTTCCTCCCCCTACTTGATAATTTGGCATGACAGTGGATTATTAAAATGTCTCAGCATGACAGTTCTGTCTAACACCAAACAGCTGCACATACATACAACAAAATTAAGAGGGGGTGGGGGGAAAGACAAAACAAAGAATAATTAAAGTGGAAACAAACTGGGTGCCAATGGCTTTTCCCTATGCTTTCACAGTTCACTTCATAAAAACAAAGCCACGAAGAACAGGGAAACTAGCATGTTTGCCAAGACGGCAGGAAAGAACCCATTCAGAACCATTGGTAAAGCTCAGCGCCGCACTTCCAGAAAGGACTAACGCTATCCTGGATGCATACGAACATGTAACTGAAGCACAAAAGCTTGAGCAATCCACATTGAGGGAGTAAACAAAGTCACGGCAATCCAATCGGTCATACCTGCAGTTATGCGCCCCCATACAAGAGGAGAATACTCGGGCTCCTGATGCGCAGGAATGGAGTGGACCACTCAAACACGCAGGCACAAACGCACGCTTTAAAGAGTCTAGCAAATGTACACAAAGAATTAAAGACAAACAAAAGGCCCGTCCAGTCTCCAAAGCTACAGTCTGCCTCCAGAACACAAATACAGTACAAGCTTCTCTAGTTCATTATGTACACCAAGTGCAATTCCAAAAACTCATTTTCGGCTTACGTTATGTAGTTTCTCTCCAATGTTCCACTTAAAATTAGTCAGACAAACAAAATGAGATTAGCCAGGTCTGGAATTAAGTAAACAAATCCTTTGATTGAAGTATATTTGGTAAAGCGGTTACTTAAAATGGTTCAATACTGGCACACAACCATAAAGTGAGGGTAATACTCAGGGTTTTGTACGATGAGTCATTAAATATGGATAAGTTAACACCACGCAAGTTCTACTTCTCAAATAAAACAAACTGGAGAAAAACAAACAACAACAACAACAACAGCTTAAACAAATATTAAGGTCCATGGCTTAGCCTAATGCTGACATCTTTCTCTCCCTCTCGCTCTTGAAGCGTATCATAAATTGTGCACCTAAAATATAGTACAATAAAAGGTAAATAGTCTGTAAATCTATGCACATTATTTTAACTACCAGCAATAGATTACATTCACCTCCAATCCAGCCTTCCTTGGCCACAAGTACAGAGGCAAGCCATTTTCAATGACAAACCAGCTTTGAGGAAGGGGGAAAAGGGGAGGGCAAAGGGGAAGAAAAAACAAAATTAAGAAATAAAATTAAAATAAAATGGTAATGAGCAGCCAAAACATTAATTTATTAATATTGTAAGGAACTTCAGATGAACACAACCAAACTGTACACATTACAATCATTTTCTATTTGTAAACAGTTAAAAGCCACTTGACTTGTTGCATCTTCGGACACAATTTGAATCAAGGCAATGAAATGTGGACGACTTTTGGACTGTTAAAATAACCAAACAAGATTTTCTTTAACACCAGCTCTGGCGATGAGGAAAATATATATATATATTTTCAAACAATGTATATGCAAATTGCGGAAACATATAAAACATTACTTCAGACAAAGAAAAAGCGATTCTGTAGGCCGAGTCAGTGGCCTCAGTATGCATAGTTACAGATTTCTGCTTTTTCTTACGACTTTTGACAGTTACTTCGACAGTCACAAAGCGGAAAACATTGAGCCACTCAGTGGGAAAAAGGGAAGGACTAGATAGTGATTCGGCAAACCATATCCACTCATTAATAAAAAGACAGCATATTCAAAAAAGCAGTATGTAGAATGTCTCCAGCTTAAAGCAGTTATTTGGCAGAGAAAAACTTACAGAGCTATAAGTAGTTTCAGTGCTAAAAGTTGGATTTTCCTACAAGGAGTTTCTATGGGGGAAAACTGGCTATATTTCCTGAGAACCATGCTGGTTATTTAGCAGACAAGAGGAATAGATAAAATAACCAATGACATGGCCAAACACTGATCAGTATTCCCAGAGATAGAAAGCTTCGTCTTCATCCTCAAGATTTTTTTTTTTTAAGGTTTCTTTTGTCGCTTTTTGTTCTTTTTTTTGTATTTTTTTGTATTTTATATTTTTTTATATGATTTTTAAAAAATTCTTTATGCATTTTTATTTTATTTTTCCATTTAAAATAAAAGGAAGAATGACCATACTTTCCCCCTCAAAAAGTTTTGTAAACAAGAGGGCACAATGTGATGCCTCCAAAACAAAATTGAAAGCCTATTTTGAAAGTGCTGTTCCCCCTGGCTTGCAGGTCGGGTTTGCAAGTCACAGCTGTGGCTACAGTTTTTTTTACACTGCAGAGCTAAATTCTTTAGTTTTAAAACAAAATTGGTGCAATACTTATTTCTGTAATATCATCAAATAATCCTAAGTCAGCATCTATATCTTGATCTCAAACTCCACAATACCACAATAAGGTAGGCGTACATCAAGGCATAGTAGAGCGCACACTTTAAGAACATCCTTGAGTAAACAACTACACTGGAACTGTCGGCTCCCTCCATATTGCAGATTATACTGAGAAAAACCACATTCAGTGCAAAGTTAAAAAAGCTCAAACTCCAACATTGTCAGCAAACAAAATGCAAATCATAAAAACAAAACGAAAAGAATTGGAATTGAAATAAACATGATGAATAAACAGATGAGCTCAACTGAAGCTTTTTTCTGTATGAAGAGCACTACCTGGAAGTGTAAATACATCCTTTCACATTATAGAATTGGCCTGCATGATTCAAGTATTCAAACTGATATGTTTTGGGCTAAAACAAAGTGGACATATGTGCAGAAAAAAAAAACGTAACTTGTTTCCACAGGGTGACCCCGCATTGTTTTTGTTTTTTGTAAGTGAAGAAAGTCTAACTAGTGCCATTTGATTTTTTTATATATAATATATATATATATGGTCATATGATTATGATTAACTATTTCCACATTGAGGTCACGGGTTTGTATGTTTTTGTTTTTTTGTTGTTTTTTGTTTTTAAGTCAGAAGGTGAAAGATGCACTACATGGACTCCCCACCTCCCATCAGATGGTCAACAGGAAGGAAGGAGCTGATGGGGGAGGGACTGTTGATTCTCCCTCCCTCACCACCACTGGGGCTGCCCCACAGGCTCGTGGAGTAATTGGGAACGCCCCAGAGAGACGAGCCGTGCAGGTCTCCGCTGCCAGCTCCTGCCAGCCCGCTGCCGTTCCAGTGATTTGGATCAGTGCGGTTTGGGAAGGGGTGAGAACCCTCGATGGATCCGATCCGATTCTGAGAAGAGCCCAGCGTCTGCCAGCTGGGAGAGGCAGTCATTGACTGACCTTGTGCAAAGAAACGATTAATTTCCTCTTCACTAGCAAACTCTGCAAGAATAGTAGTGTTCCCTAAAACACACCTGAGAAAAGAAGAGGAAGAGCAGAGCCTTTATCAGTATTGTGCCTTACACTCTCATACAAGTCTGTGTGAACTCCAGCATGTGGTTCTGGGAACCTGGAAACCGCTTTGCGTAGAGGTTGCCACATTATTATAGTTTTTCAACCGAATAAGTAAACAGGCTGATAAACTTCAGTCAGGACCCTTATAGGGTTAGTTCACCCAAAAATGTAAATGCTGTAACGACGAGAAAACTTTTTGCACGCAAAAAAAAAAAACCCAACAAAAAGAAAAAAAACCTATTCAACAATCTCTTCTTTTCTATGTCAGTTTGCTACGCTGATCACATGGTAAACAGCGCCACACACCACGACATGTGTGATGCTGAAGCCGGCCAATAATGAGCCGGCGTTCACGTGATTCTAGCAAACTGACATGGAAGAGAAGAGATTGTTGATTAAAGTTGATCTTTTAAGTGTGTGTGTGTGTGTGTGTGGGGGGGGGGGGGGGGGGGTCTGGAACAACTGTAGTCACATGGACTTTTTCAACAATGTCTTTACTACCTTTCTGGGCCTTGAAAGTGGCAATTACATTGCTGACTATAGGGGGGGCAGAAAACTCTCGGATTTCATCAAAAATATCTTCATTAGTTGTGTTCCGAAGATGAACGAAGGTCTTAAAGGGATAGTTCACCCAAAAATGAAAATTATGTCAGTAATTACTCAACCTCATGTTGTTCCAACCCCGTAAGACTTTCGTTCATCTTCGAAACACAAATTAAGATATTTGTTATTTAAATCTGAGAGCTGTCTCACTCTCACTTCATTTTGCAGCATTGGTAAGGCACTTTTACGTTTTCTCGTTGGTTTCTCACGTTTCGGACATCCAGGAAATGCACACTTAAGAACCATTTTAAACACTACATCGAGACACATCTACGTCATCTTCTCAGTTCTCGCGCATGCGTCGTGGCGCTCTCGTGAACTCGCGGCAGAGGCCCACACGGAAGAAAATGAATAATTGAATAAAGTCGTTATTTAGGGTTATTTGCGCACAAAAAGCATTCTCGTCGCTTGATAAACTTAAGGTTGAGCCACTGTAGTCACTTGGACTATTTTAACGATGTCTTTAATAACTTTTCTGGGCCGGCAGATGCAATTACCTAGCAGCCTATGAAGGAGAGAGACCACTCTCAGATTTAATCAAAAATATCTTAATTTGTGTTCCGAAGATGAACGAAAGTCTTACGGGTTGGAACAACATGAGGGTGAGTAATTACTGACTAATCTCATTTTTGGGTGAACTATCCCTTTAAGGTTTTGAAACGACATGAAGGTGAGTATTTAATGACAATTTTCATTTTTGGGTGAACTAACCCTTTATTTTAATCACTTACAATTCTACATATAAAAATTTCAAACTCATTTAAAATTAAAACATGACTAAACACTGTATCATGCATATCCCCTATAGACCTTATTCAGAGCAGCGCCATTCCAGGTATGAAGCGAGGCTGTGAGATAGACTTACCATGTTTTAAATGGCATCTGCTGTTAAAAGCTGTATAAAGCTCCTAGATCACTTATAATTTTCCAAAGCACATATTTGTCTGGGGTTTTTTGTCTACTGAAATTTCTCAGAAAGATATTTTTGCAGTGTTTCGTCAGCTGAACAATCCAAAAACACATTACATAACAGTACAACCCACTGAAGAGATGCGTCTATCCCTCACAGGCTCGTTTTTATTCTCGTTAAAAATCAAAGATGTGAATAAGGTCTATAGTGCAGTAGATCTAAACCAGGGGGCCGGGGCAAACTTTAAAGGGGGCTCAGGAAGTGTCATGTAACTTGATGCTCCATTGGCAATTGTATAATGAATATACATTTTTCTAGCTGTGCTAAACTCTAAAATATTGAATCAAGTTCAAATTCTTCTCTATAATTTTTCAAAATAAGGGAGGGGGCAGGGGTTCAGGACCACTGCAATACTAAACTGCATAAGCTGATTTTTTATTAAATGGAAGAAAAATATTATTTGAAGATGAAGTGACAGTCATTTAATTTTATATAGGAATGTATCAAACCTCAAAAATAGTAGCCATGCACCACAAAAAGAAACAATTAACTTGCAGTAGGGCTGTGCGATATAGCTAAAAAATGTATCACGATATAATGTTTCATATCGTTTGGTATCGATAATTATTGACATTTTTTATAACCTTTTTTTTAAAGACGAGTAGAAAAGGTTGAATTTAAACCTCTGTTTTTTTATTTATCCACATTAAGGCAAACTAATTCTATTAGTTTTAGCATTCAAAAACAAAAATAAAATGTAAACAAAAATATCTTCTTTATGTCTTATATTAAGATAAAAAAGTAAGTGTTAATAAAACTCTTGAACTTAAATAAAACGTTACAAAATGTGTGCAATGTAAAAGTGTAAACATGGAACAATCAAGGCTAACTTTGAGGTAGATCAACATCTGTAGCAAGTAGGGGTGTAATGGATACAGCAAAAAGAAAGAAATGCCAGAGAAATTTTCTTGATTTAAAAAAAATAAGGAAAATTAATTAAAAGAAAAATTATTTTTAAATAAGTGCGAGTTTTTATGAATGGGGGTAATCTTTGAAGGATAAACAAATAATGTTTTGGTCATCACATTAAAAATAACATTAAAATATGATAATATTTGAGTTTTGAAGTGCTGGAAAAAGATGTGACGACCTTGAAAGCATTTTACTATTCTTGACAAACTTTCATGGTTACAGTTAGTGTTACTACATTAAATCCATGGTGAATGTTGCTGATCTGTGGACAAAGCCTATAACTAGTTCATTCATGGCACAATGTTTCTCCTGGTTTCCACGCTACCTCTGTTTACACTAATAGAGATCTACGGTTAATAACGGAGAAATTTAAATGCTTCTCACTAAATCTCGCAGTGAGGTTATTACTTCTGTGGCGAATTTGAATGCTTTCTTTACTGGACCTCTAAGCACTGTGTAGTAACAGTGTCGCTTGATCAAGATCAAAAAAGAGAAAGCGGCACAGCCCCGCCTTCCATGCGTTTTTAGACAAGATATGTAAACGATCTACGGGCGATGCACGTGCATTTTAATAAAAATATAGAACGCTATATCGAATATATCGCTATATTTTGTTTTAATATCGTTATCGACAATGGTGAACCTTTGATAAACACCGATACCGTTTTATCGGCCAGCCCTAGGGGTGTAACGATACACAAAATTGACGGTTCGGTTTTCCCACGGTTTTGACGTCTCAGTTCGGTTCGATTCGGTTTAGAAAGCTAAAATGGCTTTTTTTTTTTTTTTTTTTTAAACAGTGGTTTAACGAAAAAATTATCTTTTTCTTTAAATTAATTCAATTACAATTAAACGTTTCACAAGGATTAAAAACAAATCTGCTAATTACTATAACATTAAAGGTTGTAGCCTAGAGTTTTAACCTAAATTCAGATGCTATTTATTTTTTAGATATAATAATCAACACACAACACATTGTATGAAAATATGTAAACTGAACATAAGGCAGTTTTTGCATTAACTTGTGTTTTTACTCTAATTTGTTATTGAAATATAATACTTTACACAGTTGCCATTTTCATGAAAGATATTTTAAACATACATTAAATAATCAAGATATCATTAACAGGTTAAGTAAAATATAATATATAGGCTAACATGGTGCATTTATTTAGTGCAAGAGTTCATTTATAGGAACCAAAGTTGTGGACACTGAATCACTTGCCTGTTGAGGTAAATATAATGCTAGTGACAAGCTATGCTGTTTTATTGACGTCTTTCCGCTGCTGAAACACTGATTGAGCGATTACACGAGTTATGATGCCTTTCAGTACGTATACTGCATCTTTCAACATACCTTCAGGTGTCCATTCTGTAACTGAGGAAGAGATGATCGCGTTTACCCGCGCGCCGCGCTGCCGCTTGAAATGAGGAGCTTAGTAGCCCTACAGCGATCTGTTACGCCACATCAAAGAGCGCCAAAACGCCATTTATTGTTTGAATTTCGTGATCAAATAGACAGAATTTGAAAGATTACACCTTGCTTATTATCGAAAGTAACAAAACACGGAGCTTGTTATTTGGTGTTAATGGTGGTTAGGCTACAAAACTGAATTCGTTGTGTACTGTACACAAGACATGAGGTCCATTGAGCCGGGCTGGGCGGGGCCGGGATTAGCAGGGGGCGGGGCGTGTTCGGTTTGCAATGAGAGTATCGCGATTCGAATCGTGTGTTCTGTATCGCGGTTTTTCGGTTCGGTTCGAATATCGTTACACCCCTAGCCAGCCCTAATTTGCAGTCTTAGGCGCCATTCACATATAGCGCCTAAAAACGCGTAGAAAACGCTAGGCGCGCCGCATTCTCCTTTTTCCAAAGGGCTAGGGTGGTTGTGCTCCGGTTGGTTCTTATCACGTGACCTACCGTGCGCTTGCAGCATTCTGAAAAGTTGAGATGTTTTTATCTCGATGCGGTGCGGACGCGCTTGGAAAAAACTAGCGCGTTGCACCGCGACCGCGTCGCTTCCATTATGAGCACGCATACCGCGCGCCTACATTTGAAATAACGAACTTGAGCGCGCTAAAGATGCGATATGTGAGCAGGCCCTTAAGCTGTACATTTTTATGAAAATTCTATTTCTTACAATTATAAACCAATCAATGCTTTTGATGAATCTAGTTATTCAAGGTAGAAGTGGTCAAGTTATGTATAGCTAAATTGAATGCACTCACCTCCTCTTACACTGCTCAGTAAATATTAGCAATATGATTTCTGTTCTTTACCTGCATTGAAAAAAAAAGATATAGACTTACATGTGCAGTGACTTCTGGGCTTTTGCCGCCTCCTCCTTAGAGCTGTAGCAGACCACAGCATTGCCATGGGGAAGGTTCAGATGGAATGTGATCAGTGGACCGTGCTGCATGCACAGAGTTCGCAAGGTGGAGCCATCAATCTGCAAAACATGTTACACAATAAATGATTTTGCTGTGCCGTTATATATAAAAAGATATCTAGATTTCTAGTATTTCCTTTCATAACAGCCATTACTTACAAAAAGGCTAATGAGAGTTGGCCATTGAGAATTATTACAAACTTGATCATAATGAAATCATGTTTACATGAGCAGGGCTAAATTTACGTCCAAATGATGCAACACACAACCTAATATGTAGCTAGAAATTGCCTACATTGTCTGAATTCAGTCAGACATACAGAATAAGTGTTTGTGTGCCTGACAGACATTAGATTTTCCTTCTAAAAAAGTATAAATTATACATATTAGCGATTGATGATTTTTCATAAAAACCTAAACTGCAAAATACAGTGTTGATAAATACTGCCCTACAAAGGCAAAAGACCTTAACTCGCTAGAGTGTGGAACTGAGAAAAATGACTTTAAAGATTTTTAGTTGTCCCGCCAAATTAATTATAGGTAGGACACTGAAAATCTGGTAATTAGATGTTTAAGTAATGAAAATTATCTACATAAAATTGAGCTCAAACCTGACTTTTGACCACTATTTTAAAGTTACTGTACACTGCCTTTGTATTGTCAGGAAAAAGTGAGAAGTCATGCCAAGGCAAAAGGCAGTAACTTCCACATAATCAATATTTGGTTGCTGATCACCATTAACAAAATCATTATAGTAACACCTGTATAAAATCTAGTGATCATGGCATTTATTTTGTATGATTTACAATTACCTATAGCCTTCTACTTATTGTGCTTTGGTTGCATTCTGGTGGCCCTATTAATACATTAGACATGACAAAATACCTCCATAGCGGTAAAGACTAAAGAGTATCTTCAAGTGGTACCGAGTCCGAGTGGCATAAGACTTGCTAAACACGCGTTCAAAACGATCACGATAAAACAGATCCTCGCGCACATTCGACCCGGAGACTGGTTTATAGCGGTGGATCTGAAAGACGCATACTTTCACAGGCGTTTACCGAGATTCGTGTTCGAAGGTGTCACGCTCCGTTCACGAAAAGTAGCCTACGCAGTGCTTTACCCCTTAGGGAGCGCGTTCTGGACTACCTAGACGACTAATGCATTTATAGCACAACCTTCTGTGTTCTGCGTCTTTTCAGTATGCGTTGGTTTCAGCTGTCTGCCCTATTACTCTGTGTGCACTTCGCTCGTCCCGCGGATTTATTCCGGACGCTGCGTTTTGTATGCATGCTTTTAACAGCTGTTCTGATGTTGTATGCACCAGCACTTCTTGCTTCATTATGTTGTATGCGCCAATATAGGCTACCCTTGTTGCTTCATTATTATCACTCCCTGCGATTAGTCCCACGTCGGCTCGGCTGTGTTCAGGGCGGAGCTGAAGGCGCCGGCGAAGTTTTGGCACTCTGCCAGCTAGCTAGATGCATGATTGTTTCAACTAGGTCCGGTACCCGAACTGGGTGAGGCGGGGCTTTAGTTCTTTGTTGTATTGACCTGCTTCGGCATGTGTAACATTTTTCTGTCAACTCTGCATATATCCTTCGCGATCGATATTGCACGTTTGTCGATGGAGCGGGTTAAGAGCATACTAAATGTTCTGACCGCATTAGTGCGGGACAAATCTCTGAGGACATCAGAAGTTACAGGGACTGATGGCAGCTGTAAGTACACAGGCTACATTGTAATTTCAATTTTAATGGAGAGTAAAACAAAGGCAGAACACCGTATAATCTGATTGGTAGCATTATTTGATAGAACGCCGGCACAGTAACTTCATATTGACGCGCGGCTAAACAAAGGCAGAGTGCCGTAACTCAATATGAGCGTTCCAAAACTAAGCCAAAGAGCCATAACTGGTGTTACGGTGTTCTGCCTTGGTTTCTCATGGGCTTTTGGAAGTTACGGTTAAGACAACCCATTATTTTCTCGAAAAAACAACGGAATTGACTCAAGATACTTATCCACATGATAAAGGAGGTCTTGAATGTGCCAAAAATATCAATAACTCATTTTCGACCAAAACCGAAGTTACGGTCTTTTGCCTTTGCATGGCAGAATAGTTTTATGGTGTTTTGCACTGCAAAAATCATGAGTGCTGAAACAGGCAATGTGAATGCTATGGACTGTTAAAATGAGCCCATGCAGTCCAAATAATTAAACTTCTTACCTGAGGTGTGAGGTTTTTGAGTACAAGCCAATTAGTTCTCCCTGAGCTGCTGTCACCCCAGCTGGAACCTGTGAACAACGATCATTTCAGGTCTCTCTTAAATCTTTAAACTCTACAGTACGGACACTGTTCATAGAGTTTGTTAAGGTGAAAGGAAATATAACTGTGACTTACTAGAGTTGAATCTGGATTCAGAGCCACCCCAGCCTGCCAGCCTCAGAGAGCCGTTGTCCCAAGATGAGGGCTGTTTCTGGCCAGTCAGGCCAGGTGGAGGGCGGGACGGAGCAGAGATGCCTTTCGAAGGGAGAGGAACCTTCCACAGCTCATGAGCCAAAGAGGTGTTGGTGACTGTACCAGGAGACCATTTGGAGTCACTGTTTCTGGCTGCAGGGAAGAAAACAAAGTTAATGGACTGTATTTGAACCACAGGCCTGTGTGGCTAGGCCTAAATAGTTGCACACCAACCTGAAGTGCTTTGTGCTGTACTGCTGAGGGAACTATTGTGGTTGGAGGCACGAATGGATGTCCAGGCACTATTTGAAGGCAGCGTGGTGTTAAGTGATGAGGATGGCCCTGGAAGAACAGAAAAAAATAAATATTTCATTGTTGAAAACACGAATACATACAACTCAGCAAATTACAGTACCATTCAATTTTCTTTAATGGTTTCTGAGCAAAGTCTCTGGCTTGAAAATCAGCCTCAAAGGCTGCATTTATTTGATCAAAAATATCAAATAAGGATCACAATATCAGAAATATTGTGAAATATTATAATTTAATGTAACTTGTCTATTTTAATATATTTCAAGTTTAAGATTTTACTGTTACTTTATCAATTTAATGCATGCTTGCTAAATAAAAAATTATTTCATTAAAAAAATAATTCTTACTGACCACAAACTTTTGAACAGTACTTTATAATGATATATAGCTGGTTTAACAGATCACTTACCATTGTTCCTGTCCCTGAGGTGATCAACATCCCGGACTGTATTAATGGAGAGATTATTAATCACACTGCCAGGAGTGACAAATGGGTCAGTTTCAGGATCAATGTTTGGATATCCTTTCCAGGGCTCACCAGGACGGAACTCTGTCAAATAAACATAACATGGTGAGCTCATTCATGCCACAGCGCCATTCTTAACCAGTTGAGCTTTTCTGTAATATTCCATTTCAGTAAAAGATTTGATTGGAACATGTAAATAATTTATGAAGCAAATGGGTCTGAACCTGGTGGCCAGTTGACATTGGTGGAACCATGAGGTGATTTGGCACGGCTGGGCCAGCCATCTCCCACAGAGCCAGGAGGACTGATGGGAGTGTTACTGGCATTCATGAAGTCATATGGACCAAAGGGCGAGTCTTCAAGCCTCAGGCCAGATGGTATAGCACCTATAGTAAAATATCCATTAAACTTTTCGCTCACATTGTTTGATGAGATAAGATTAGGGCTGCACAATGGACTAAAAATTATTACTGGTGATTTTTATCCTTGATAGAAAAAACAACATTGAGATGGAATGCACTAATTGACACTTGTCACAATTAATCACATGGTCATATATTTTTGTTCATATCAGCTGTGAAGCTATGACTGATTACAAAAAAAAAGGGGTTATCAAATGGGGAAACCCACCAGATTTGCTGGGGTTTTGATCAAGTGGCGAGTTAACGGAGATATCCATGGCAGTCCACTTCTTCAGACGGGACTGTGGCTCCTTAAAACCAACACTACTAATGTCAAGGTTGCTTACATTCAAGTTTGAGTTCAAACCTAGAGGAATACAACAAAAGTAATTTAAAAAAACAACTTAATTTTCTGTCAGGATGTGCATATTCTTAACAACATTTCTGGTATCCAGGAATTAACAGCAGCAGCAGCTCTAACAAAAAGATCATATCAACATTACATTCAATTTAAATGCACTCAGTATTTTTGATATATCAGTATTGAATTTAAAAAAAAAATTCAAATTATTTATTACGGTGACAGCGTTGCAATTCAATACTTTGGCTTTTGTGTAACACTGTTCACACCACCATGGCAGCCGCATTATTGCCAACACTGATTGCCAACAAACAAAAAAATACAGAATGCACAAAAACTGTGGGAAAACAAAGGAAGGCGACAAGCAAAAACAACCTTATTATTGTCAAGCGGCAGAAATAATAAGTACAAGCACCATACGTATGCCAGCCAAACATTGGATTTACAATCAAATAATAAGGTTCTGAAATCAGAAGGTTTTGCAACATTGCACTGTTTTCATTTTCCCTGTAATACAAAATGCAAGAAGAAACTTTCCTGGGGACAACAAAATAGATAGACTGTATTCACCTCTCGCTGGCAGAGAGCTGCTGTCAGGACAGAAGTTCTTTCCTACCCAAGGGTTGATGGGAGAGCCTTGCACCATGTGGCCATTGCTCATAGGTGGGGCTAGGAGGCTATGACTTTGACTAATGCCAGCTGGCAGATAGCTTGACATGTCAGATGCAAACATTGAGTTGGGCTTGGCAGCTTGGTGCAACATAGAGTCAGTCTGGCCTATATTAAGATGGGGAGGACACCCACCTAAAGGGAAATTACTGAACGAGCTCAAGGAACTTTGTTCTTTCTGCAGGTCAGAGGCATTGGGGGGCATGAAGTTCTCCATATAGGACTTGAGGCTGGGTTGGTGCAGTGAGGGTGGCTGAGGGGAAGTCTGTTGCTTCATCTGGGAGGGATCGAGATGGCGAGGAGTCTGGATCATTTGCTGGGACAGACCCAAACCACGACCCTACACAATCACAAATGAAAAAATTACATAAACGAGCCAAGAGAGAAAGAAACAAACACACAAGTTGGTCCAAGAGATCGCGAACCTGCTGTTCCTGTTGCTGGCGGCTGTTAACAGGCATGGCCCTCTGGGTTTGAGCTTTTTGCTGCAAAAGGAGACGCTGTGGGACCGGGAAAAAAAGAAAGAAAAAGTAATATGTATCGCTAGGAACATGGTAACTTATCAGTTAAATAAATTCTAGGCTGTTACTTGCAGTGGGATCAATACCTGTAACTGATTAATCTGAGACAGTTGGTTGAGTTGAGACAGCTGGTTCAGCACAGCCACATGCTGTGGGCCAAACAGAGGGTTCAGACCTCCATTATTGGGAGAGTACTTCAACAGGGGTGGAGGAACCTGCAAAGAGAGATTGTACACATTCGTTATGAACATAAAAGACATACATATTTTAATGGTTTATTCTGGTTTACAAATTACATTGTCTCTTAAAATTTCATCTTAATAAAATTGCAAATAATTTTTCTCAGTAAAATATAAATTATATTTTTTTCCTCAAATTGTGCAGCCCTACTTTTAAGAGTTAATTTATTCATTTCTATGTGCGGAATCACACATTTGGAAATTTCCTAATACTTTTTTCTGATAAATTTCCTGATACGACCGTGGGAACCCTGTTTACCACACAGCTTAAAGGGTTTGTTTACCCAACAATTTTAATTCTGTCATTAATTACTTACCCTCATGTCGTTCCAAACCAGCAAGTCTTTGGTTCATCTTTGGAACACAAATGAAGATCGTTTTGATGAAATCTGAGACCTTTCTGTACTCTCCATTGACAGCTATGCAACTTCCACTTTGACGCTTCAAAAAGTTTATAAAGAGACCAAAAAACCTATCCATATGAATTGAGCAGTTTAGTGAAAATTTTCTGAAGAGACTCGATCGCTTTATATGATTAACAGATTGAATTTAGGCTTTTGTTCATATCTAAACAGTCTTACGGGTTTGGAACGACATGAGGGTGAGTAATTAATGGCAGAATTTTCATTTGTGGGTGAACTAACCCTTTAATCTTGAAGTGAAGTGAGCTTTAGAAACCCAATTGGAGTTACCTGAGAGGGAAGTAGTGGAGGAGGCACTTGGTTGCGTAGAGTGGGCTGAGTGGAGTTCAGAGGTTGTGCTGGAGGCTGCTGGGCGTTCCGGCCTTGTGCTGCCGCATTACCGACACTGTACATGTTTACATTCTGTGGAGAAACACAAACAACCCACATGTACATAATGAGCATTCAGCAGTCTAGTGCACTCACAGCTTCAGCACACAGGGATCTGCATGCACTAACTTACCTGCCTAACAGAGGCAGAGTTTGGATGGTGAGGCCCTGGCAAGTTGCATTGGTTTTGTTGTGCATTATTCGTAAGGGAAAAGCAGATATTCTGCATGGAAGTGATCTGTGAGTTTCGGAACTCCTCTGCTACAGAGCTATTACATACGGGCAGTGAAAGCTGAAGCACAATCACAGGCCAAGCAGAGAGAGAGAAGCAGGACGCAGAGAACAGCAGCAGTTGGTCAAAGAACAGAAGGAACACCAGGCCACCAGAGAAAGACACATTAACACCCACAGAAAAGGTGACAGAAAGGCTATGTTAGCATCCTCTTTGGCATGTTTTAGGAATTGGGATAAGAAACAGACTTAGATTCCAGAATGACTTGATGTTAAATACCCCATGAAATTGATTGAAGCATTTCCTTGTGAAAAAGGAAATTTGGGCTTTCCAATGGGGCCTCAAGATGACTTAAAATGATTATAAAAAAGAAAATCAAGCTTAAAATTAAGCACAAAAAAAGAGAGATTTTTTAATTGAATTCACTCCCTTAAATGTCCCCCCCACCCTCGAAGCTCTTAACTTCAGGAATAGTTTAATTTGACATAAAACATCAATTTTACATCATAGGGTCTTTACGTTGCATTTCTTTCCCATAGAGGGTGCTAAAGTAACCAACAAGCACAAGTAACAGTCACTGTGTGAAGTGAAGGCTCCATTAACGCTACAAGAGACTTGGAAAAAACTGACCTTATCCATATAGGGATTGCGGTCTATGGGAGAATCTTTGTGGATCTGGTGACGTGAAGCAGGATTTTTTCCGTACTCTCCCATATTAAGAACATGCTTGTCAACATCAATGCGCTTGTCTGTCATTCCTGCAGAATATGAGAGGAATTTATAGATTTTACAATATCAAGCTAGTATTCATGGACTGCGACAAACATCACTCAATATAAGCACTGGAAGAGCATGCGAATGTGACCTACCTCCAGACATATCCATCTTATTGCTCTTCATGGAATCTTCAGCAGAATCCCTCTGTAAAAAGATAGAAGCGTAAGCATGCTAACTAATGAGTTTGTTTCTCAAAGGATTTGTGGTCACCTAATATCTAAAATAAACAGGTTTCAATGGAAATTGTAGCAATCAGACTATTAATCCTTACAGGGTACATGTTGTTGAACTGTTTCACAAACGGATTCATCCATTGAGAATCATCTTGCTTGTTGGGTCCTTTGTTCAGCTAAGGAAATAGGCAAGCAAAATGTACACAATTTTGTCACTAAGTCCTTGTAATAAAACAGTAAATTCAGTGAATGATATTTTAAGTAGTTCTGCCAGGCTAAATCAGGTCTGAATTATTACCTTTGGAGGCATCTTCTTGTAGGACCAGTTACCAGTTTGGTTCATTTCCTGTGATGAACTGTTGTTCCACATGCCTATCTTTACTTGCTCTTCCTCCTCCAAGTTGGAGTGCCCTGCCATAGAATTCTGCTCTCCATACCAGTCTTGCATAGGTTTGGATCCTAAAAAGACAAAAACAATATCAAATGAAAAATAAAGGGGTGATTATATGTTCAGTGATTAAAAATAAAATCACTGAACACATAGTTACATTTAAATTAATTTTATTTCACCCTGATATTTACATTGGGGAAAAACAAACAATGGGTTTAACTCTTTAGGCGCCAAGGTTTTTTGTTGAAAAAATGCTGGATTTTGACATCAACATTTCAAAAGCTTGTGGCTTGAAAGGGTTTAAAGATAGAGATCTACTGTAAATTAGAAAAATGTTGGGGATGACTGAAAGTTTATGTGGGGTGTAAATATACTCATCTAATTTGCATATTATGACGCCATAAGGGGGCGGCCCTCTTGAATTTCATAATATTCAGGAAATAGTAGATATTTAACTGATGTTTGAACTTATTTGGATGTTTTATTTTTTTTTATCCTCATTCCAAATGATGAGAAAAGAGGAAACCAACAATAACAGGAGAAAGTACTAAATTATTACTATACTATATAGTAGTAAAATGCATATGAACAGTAGCCTACTTTTTGGATCAGTTCATCAGTAATATTCAGGAAATAGTAGATATTGAATTGATGTTGGAATTTATTTACATGCTTTTTTTAATTTTCTTTTTTATCCTCATTCCAAATGATCGGAAAAGAGGAAACCAACAATAAAATAGGAGAAAGTACTAAATTATTACTATATTACAATACATTAGTAGTAAAACACATGTGAACAGTAGCCTAATTTTTGATCAGTTCATCAGTAATATTCAGGAAAAGATCACGTCCACCCCTGCCACCCCTATCCCCGTTGGGCAAATGGTCAAAATGATTTGTTTGTGCTTCGTGAACACTCTCGCCTTGCACGGCAAAGATGTACCGCGAGAAGCGTGCAGCACCATTGCGCGTCAAAGATGTACCGAGAGAAGCGCGTGCGACACCATTGCGCGGCAAAGTTGTACCGGGAGAGGCGCGGGCGGCACCATTGCACGGCAAAGATGTACCGGGAGAAGCGCGATCATTAGACGGCCGATCGTCATTTACAAAAGGCAAATATTCCCCTTCAGAGTCAGAATCGGCGAATAACATTTGCAACACATCCTCACGGTACAAGTTTTTATTAGCCATTTGACGATTTTCTCTCACAAATATCACAATTTACTCAGACGCTCTGAACTGAACTGCTTCCGCATCAATGACACGATCGCTCACTTGCTCTGCTGTTTCCTCCAACACTTTGAATAGGAACATGACGTCATTTTGATCTTGAATCGAAGTATTACATGTCTGCCATCTAGTGGTAGGGAATACAAATTAGATATTACACCATATTAGGATCTACAGCCTGTTTTATTAACTATGACGTCTTGTCGTAATTTTGCGACTTTGGCGCTTAAAGGGTTAAAATAAATCAAAGAAAGTTCTTGGCCTTAATTGGAGATGTGACATACCAGACTTGTGCTGTGACTGCTGTCCTACAGCAGCATTGCCCCAGCTACTGCCTCCTGAGTTTTCCCTCCCTGGCCCTTCCCAGCTGGAACCTGTATCAACAGGCTTTCCCCAAGCAGATGTGCCATTGTCCACAGTGACAGGTGAAGCAGCATGCTCACCCCAGGTAGAGGACTCATTTTTTTGTGGCCCACAATACGTCTCTCCCCACCCTGTGAGCAGACAGCAAAAAAACAAAAACAAAAATATGATCACAAGACCAGAACACAAAATAATGCTATTTTTATAGTATAGTATTTAAAAAAAAAATAAAAAAATCGTCAGAGAAAACAAGAATCAGAAGTGTGAATTATTAGCTACATGGCAAATAACTATGCAACTCATTTGCATCTAAACATGAAATATTTAACATTTAAAACAAGGAAAGGTTATCGTTTAAAAACTAAAATCTAATACCAAGGACAACGCAATTAATATGTACACAAACTCCAAAGTGGCATTGGACAGCACCTGCAAACTTTCCGATGGCCTAAATCCGACCCTTGCATAAACATGCTTATGCAAGCTTTGTTTACTCTGAAGTCCTTCTAATGGATCAGCTTACATTTAACCACTAAGGTTTTTGCACTTTCACCATCCAGCATATGCCCTGAATACTTCCTTCAAAAATAGCCCTGTTCATGTGTGCCCTCCTGCTCAAATTGCTGCCATATGACTGCACCATCGGTCAGAATGTAACCCAAGCCTATTTTTCCCTGAGCACAGCTCATATACAGCGAATTTCAAATGAAGTGGGAACACTATTTGAACCTATATCTTTACAGTTCCCATTTAGCAAATAACAAAACAAATGAAAAAGCTGCATTTATACAATGTATATCAATTTCAATGTACTGCATGAATATATTTATATAGACATGCAAACAAACACTCACTCATAAGTTCAGAACTTGTCAGTGCAGGAGGTATTAGAGGAAAGGGGTGGGAGGAAAAAGTGCATCCAGAAAAAATCCAAAGGGATGAGTGCATGACTAAAGATAAATATAATGGGTGAGTAATAATTGCCAAGGCACTGCCAAAAAGGAAGACACCCACCTGAGCTGCAGTTCTTTTCCTTTGGAGCCATGGAGCTTTGGGCTTGTGGGGGTTGACAAACAGCCATGCCATCCTGCTCTCCAGCATTGTTCTTGTTCCACATATTTACGTTGCTAGAGTTAAATTTGTTGGGATCTCCCCATGCTGAAGTACCATCATCAATATCCATTCTGCGCCTGATGGATTCAGGCGATGGCTCTTCCCATCCAGTGGATGATTCTTCTTTGGAGGCAGCAGGTATTGGGCCCCCCTGCCATCCTGTAGGCTTGTTCTGACTAGGGGCTCCAGTCTGAGAGGTGTTCCCACTCCTGTACGTTCCCATGCTGGAATCTTGGGACTTGACCCATTCTGAAGAGTTGTTCGTTTTTGTGTTATCACCCCAAGCAGGGTTGGAGTGGCTTGGTTTGATTGGCTCGCCCCAGGTTTGGTTTTGATTGTTGGTCTTTGGTGGGTCTCTCCATCCTGTGGCTGGACCACTCTGGTCAGGAGTGTTGTTGCCTCCACTGCCTCCCCAGATGTTGCTTGTCCCGGAGCGCCCAGGCTCGCTCCAGCCCGATCCAGAGCGGTCGCTGTCGCTGTCGCAGCCACCTGAACCAGACTTCTGGGGTTCTACCCAATGGTTTCCCTTTGGGCCTTCTCCACCCCATCCCTCTCCAGCAGAGCCCCAGCCTTGCTTTGCCTTCGGCGCATTATTCCAAGAGGACTTCTCATCCTTGGTACTATTCCATGAGGAACCGCCTTTGTTCATTGTAACAGAAGGGGCATCCTCCCATCCATTTTGCCCAACCGGGCTTTTGGTTTCTCCCCAGCCAGTTAAAGGTTTCGATTCAGACCACCCAGACACTGAAGAATCGCTACTTTTGTTGGTGCTGGGTCCATCTCCCCACCGACCTGAGTTAGATACCTGAGGGGGAGCACTGCCCCAGCCTGTCTGTCCACATCCTGTCTTTTTATCGGAGGTTGAAACATCCCAGACAGTGTTCTGGCGGACTGGAGTTTGTCCCCATCCAGTGTTGGACAGCACCCTGGGGTCCACGTCAATTCTAGAGAGAGCTGCATTAACCATCCCTTGTTGATTTCCCCTCCGTCGGTTGCCACCACGCTGCCCGTCCCTCTCACTGCGACCTCCCGAGCTCTCTCCGCTACCTTCACTGCCTGTAGATTTGTTCCACGTGCTGCCTTGCAACGCTTGACTAGAGCTCCCTATACCAAGAGCATCATCCTCCAAAGACTTCCATCCATTAGTTCCCTTTCTGCTTCCATTTGTGCTATCATTGGAATGCTGACTGTTGCTGGGCAAAGTGTTCCACTCCCCGTTTGAGACCTTAGTGCCAGTGTTTGAAGAGGATGAGGAAGAGGAAGAAGAGGAAGAGGCACTCCCCCAGGGGCGAGGGATCCCAGCTGGGCCCACACCATTACCTGCTCCCCAAGACATACTTTGTGAGGTACCGGGGGTTGAGTCCCAACCTCTTTCACGACCGCCCATCCCGTTATTATTATTATTCTTTAAAGCAGCACTCACAGAGGAACTGTTGGCTCCAGACTGCATTAGAGTTGCATTCACAGTGTCGCCCACAGCTTGGCCTTTAGGGATGGGACATTTGTCTCCAGAGTAATTAGTGCTGGGCGTAGCGCCCCATGCTGTACCGTAAGACCCACTGTTAATCCCCTCACTGTTGCCGTGTTGAGAAATGGAAGTGCCATTAGAGACCGGAGAAATAGGGAGCTGAGGGGAGCCCCCTGTACTCATAGGCCAAGCTCGGTGCCCTGGGGGCTGTTCATTTATCTGCATTGAACCTGTAGAGTTTGGTAAACTAGAGGTCATCGAGTTAGTAGTGTTATTTGGTCCATTAAATTCAGTGTTAAGGTTTTGAGTCTGCCCACTTGGAACCTTGTTTGTACCATTGACTTCAGTTTCGGACAGCTGCAGGCATCCCCAGGACATCTTAGAGTTGATACTCTGCATGCTGGGTGTTTGACCTATGGTGCTTTGTTGAGTGTTGGTGCCACCATTTCCGTTCCCCACCGGCCCGTGGGGATTGGGCCCAGTGCTCTGAAGAACGGGCCAGGCACCATGGTTGGCAATTGGGTTCAAAGTGCTTGGATTTATACCTATATTGGTTGAGGAAACTTGGGTACCCCATGCATTTATTTTGCCATGGCTGCTTTCTGCCAGCTTGCCACTGGGGCCATCTCCGGAGCCTTGACATGTGCTTAGCATTGAGCCATTGGATACACCCCAAGGCCCCTTAACACTCCCATTACCCACATTATTGCTGCCATTTGCAACCATGAAATGAGAACCTTGTCTATTGCCATTGTTGTCACCCCCAGTGCTCTCAGACGGCATCATACTAAGATTTTTTTCTGACCCAGAGCTGGAGGCAGAGTCAGCATCCATACATTCTGAGGCTAACTCTGGGTCACTACCAGTGATAGAGGGCCAGGGTCCCTTATCAACAATTACTTTTCCCCAGTTGCTGTTTGAGTCGCTGCAAGGTGAGCCAGAGCTCCATGGTGAACTTTCATACTGAGGTTCCAGACCAGCATGTTCCAAACCTGTGAACGCAAATAGTCAAACGTCAGTCACTTCAGATGGCAAACAGAAAAAAAATGTGGACAGTCTGTATTTGTTTAGTAAAGACTTAATAAGAATGTGGCGACTTAAAATATAAGGTTCCTTCCAAAAAAATATTTGTTGGGACAACTTAGACATTCAGCAAGACATTAATTAAGACATCCAGCACATTCAGCTCCACAGACTCCATGCAATGAAATATCCTGATTCTTTTATTAACTGAGTTATTAACTGTAATACACTCAGTGTAAATAAAACAACCTAAATCACAAGCCAAATGGTGTATATAAATGTGTTGGTTACAAATTACAAATTGTTTTGTACAATGGCTAACCGCCCATGGTCCTTGTCTCTGTCCTGCTGAGAGGTGTCTCACTCAAGCCAGAATGAAACAGTAGTAGAGCTGCCACCATTTTGTAGCCGCAGCATGATCATGCTGCAAGCCAGGATGGAAGAGAAGGGAAAGACAGACGACTGCAAGCAGCAACACTAAGTGTGAAGTGTCTCAGCAAGTTTGCTAATTTTGCTTCGATGCGGCAAGCGTGGTGGCACTAAATTCTAACAATTACACAACTGCTGTGTTCGTTGAAATAAGCATTTTCTGGTAGCCTGCTCTTGCTTTCATATTTTTCTGCAAGATGGCTGCCAAGCTTCCTTGAGCACTGTTCTCTTGCCAAGTCTGAGATCCTTCTACCCGGCTGTGTTAACAACAGATATGGGAAGACAAAGCAGCAGACAGTCTCATTGCTGGTCTCAAGTAAACTGTTTGTTTAAGAGTGACTCAGTAAAATGAGATTCTGCTGAAGGTCACTGGAGGTAAAGGAAAATTACAGTTATATTACAATTTGATCTCATATTTCATTTCTCCAGGGGAGACAAAAAGAGACGTCAACTAAGGAGAGACTTAGTAGTCTACAAGTTAACGGGATAGAACAATGGAAATTCCGCTATCATTCACTCACCCTATTAAAGCCTGTCGTTTACTGACCTTGCCTTTCCAAACCTATATGACTTCTTCAGTTGAACACAAAAGGATATATTTTGGGGGGGAAAAAAGAAGTCATGCAGGTTCAGAACCACAAGCTCAGTAAATGACAGCCTTTAATATTTTTGGAGGAACTATCCCGTTAATGGGAGACATACTGTGTCATGGGCAGTGTGTACAATCTCTGACTTACAATGCAAGACTGAATTCAGAAAAGTTAGCACTTTGAAACAGTTGGCAGCACTACTATTCTGGTCTTATATAACACAGGAAAAACACAAATTTGGCAGGAAACAGGGAAAGTCAGTCTACCTATGCCAAGAGATATTAATTCTTACAAGAAGCTCTAGAGCAAATGGCTAACTTTGGAGAGAGAATTTTTTTAGAGAGAATCAAAGCTACTCATTGAAACACTTAAGCATTGACAACAACTTTCAATCTACCTAAACAAAAACTGATGAACAGGTCTTCAGATGACTTATGGACTTAACACACACACACACACACACACACACTATACAAAAATAGTAAACAACAGCACATGGTGAGAAAAAATAAATAGTGAGCCACCTGTTTGGTTAGGGGAGTGGCTGACAGAATCCCGAATGGGAGCCATGCCTACAAAAAACAAAGAGCAACACAGTCAGGAAAAATAACTAAATTAAGCTGCAAAATAGGTCACCAATAAAAAGGCCACACGCTAAAACCATTTAACAAATATTATTGCTTATTTCTACAGCTATGACCAACAATTCCAATTCATCACTGCTACTTTTACAGGTAACTCCATTAGCATGATTACTGAACTGGACTTTAAATTAGTGCTTGATTAATATGGGTTTTTCATTGGGAGATGCATATGCCAATATCTACTAGTACAGATAGTTTTACACAATACTTGCATTACAAAAAAACAACAAAACACTTGGAACAAATTATTTTGTTGTTTAGCTTTGGCACGGCTCTCTTTTTTCAACTGACACTTTGGACAATGCTTACAATCTGAAAATGGAGAAATATTAGCCAATTTATCAACATGACTACAAAAATACCAAACAAACCAAAAAACAACAGTACTTTATGAGCACTAGGGGTGGGAATCTTTTGATACCTCACTATTCACCTCATATCGACTATTGAGGTCATGATTAGATTGAAATTTTATTCAAAATTGAGAATCGTTTCTTAATTGAATATAGGCTACATAGATTTGATTCTAAATTACTGTTTTGAGTAACTTTTCCTATTTGACTGTGGTAGATAGGACTTGAAAAAAAAAAAACTGAATTAAATTTTTTGAGACAGGAATTTTGGGTTTTCATGAGCTGTATGCCAAAATCATCAGTATTAAAACAACAAAAGACCTGAAATATTTCAGTTGGTGTGCAATGAATCTAAAATATATGAAAGTTTAATTTTTATCATTTAGGGCTGCAACTACCGATTATTTTGATAATCGATTAATCGGACGATTATTTTTTCGATTAATCGATTAATCGGATAAAAAAAATTCACTTCGATTTTTTGGTTTATTGACTAAATAAAACCCGGTTACACTTTATTTTAAGGTGTCCTTGTTACAGTGTAATTATATTTTTAAGTACAGAGTAATATTAAGGAACTACATGTACTTACTATAGGAATAGGGTATGATTAGGATTTTGTTGAGGGTTAGTTGCATGTAATTATGCATAATTTACTGTTATTACTAAAGTACGTAACATATGAAACAAGGACACCGTAAAATAAAGTGTTACCTAAAACCCTAAATTAGGATATTTATGTGTAAAAGTGTACTTTAAAAAGTGCAAAAGCCACACATTGAGTTTTAGTAATATCAATATTTGCATTGTTTTTAATGATAATTGCTGATGGCAAGTTGACAACCATGATTAATGTAAAAAAAAAAAACATTTATATCCAACATATTGTTTTAACACAATTTTTGTTAAAACAAATTTACACAGACATGTTGTTCAGATGTGAAGATATAAACTAAAAACATCTCAAATATATAATTCATTTAATTTTTATTTAAAATTAATTGAATTATAAGGATACATTGATAAAATAAATATAGAAAGACTGAAAACAAGCGTGTGAACGTAGAGCTGCAGTAGATCGCGTTTGAAAAACAATTAAAACTTAATAGACAAATGCTATAAATAGAGAACGTAATGGAGGTACGCAGCAAGTTAACAGGCTTGATTAAAAAGACAGGAAAAATTATGCATTAGTGCACAAACATTCGCTGAAAACCACTGAGTACAGTGACTAAAACAATCTTTTACTGCTGCTGTTATTAGCTGCCTTTATATTTAGTGCTTCGCTTTGTAAAGACCGTTTTAATGTAATATTTCTGCGGTAGTGCTATTTTAATCCATCACTTATGTTGCGAGCGAACTGATTGCGCAACCTGATGCTCGAGACAAAATACAGAGATCCCAAGTCTCCCGGAAGTTCTGGGAGTCACCCGCATATTGATAGCGACTTATGCGGCTCCCTGATGCCCGCAAATTAGTTCAAACTCCCGGGATTTGAGCGCGCATGCGAGACAGAAGAGACTGTGCTCCAAACCGTGTAGCGCGAGCGCGCGGCAGAGCAGCGGAGGGAGAGAGGCCTTGCGTGTGTGCGTATGTGCCTCATGAAGCGCGTGTAAGACAGAGAGCATCCTGATTGGCCTGTTTCAACCAATCACCAGTAAACCCTCCCCGTGACGTAAGCAGACCAACTAATCGATAATGACATTCGTTGACAACGATTTTCATAATCGATTATTATCGATTTTATCGATTAGTTGTTGCAGCCCTATTATCATTACATTATGGAAAATAATTAACTTTATCACAATATGCTAATTTTTTGAGAAGGACCTGTACATTATTTAAGGTTATTTCTAACGTTATTCGTTACGATATTGATATATGAACTGTTATTGTCAAGTAAGCTTCATGCTTTCCCCGTTGCGAATGCACTCTTCTAAACTGTAGCTACAAGTGCTGCACTGCTAGTTGACTGCTGCGCCTTTTCCCCCGAAAATATCACGTTAACAACCCCCCTTTAGAAAACGTAATTCCTTTGTGGATCCTCTTGATCTGCTTTCTCCATGTTTCTTTGACAATTCTCAGTGTCTCAGTCTCACGGCGCTGCACATGAGTTAACCACGCCCACTTATTTACATGTCGCGGTATACACAGAATAAATAAATCTGTTACTGTTGACATTTTCTACCGCGGTAACGATATATACCGTCATACCACCCAGCCCTATTCACCGGCTTATTGTGATTAACAACACTCTAACGTGCCAATAACTTATTACTGCGAAGTTAAAGTGTAACACTTTAGAAAATTTATATTTGAAATTTTTGAATCGGTAGAAGATAGAATCGCGATTCATATGTGAATTGATTTTTCCCCCACCCCTAATGAACACACACATATCTGTCCTTGTAAACTTGAAAAGCCTCTGTCTATCACCAATGACTAACTTTAAACATATATATCATAGATTTCAGTGCACCTGGCTGATCCGTAAATAACAAGGTAATTTTGCGGAGGACTAGTACCTGAAAGGTGGCTTTGGGCGCAGTGTAGGACAGACCTCTCAGTCGTAAGCTCCCCTGGCTGGCTAGAGTTGAGCTGCACTTGAGTTCCCAGGGTGGCAGCGAGGACCGTGAGGGATTGCCCACACTTCAACAGCTGTTTCTGTTTGTGCTAACAGAGATCAGGCGGAACTTCACAGAGCGGGTACCGAGGCAGGGCTTGGGGCTGGCCGCTGGCTGGGGCCCTCTTGGCATTGCTGATGGCGCAGGTTACAGTGGAGGTGCTGCTGTTCTAATTGGCAGACTGAGGCTGGCTGAAACTGGACTTGATATGTTCTGGCACTGAAAAAAACAATAACAGGTATCAAAAACTGTAAACCCCAGTATTTTCATCCTACACAACTCTGCACTATTTAAAGCTAATCAACAAATATCTATTTTAGTTTAATGATGCCTAAAAAGAGCTTTTCTTTGTGGAATTTTTCCTGACCTAGAGACATAAAAACCACCCCTAAAGTAAAACAAAGAATAATAAAAACTATGGAGACCTAAAAAAAAAATATAAAAAATAATAATAAAAATAACATACTGCACCTCGTTAGAAATTGACCTAATTTTAAACACTTTGAAGGCCAATAATCTGAATAAAAAAGTATTCGAGAGATTAAGTTGTCTATATGGTTTGCTTATATAACAGAGCAGTTCCATACAGATTCATGGGTACCACATTAAGTCCACTATGTTAATTCCACTATGTTAATTATGCCTCCTCTACATTGGCTGAATAGAGGAATATTTTGGAAACAAACTCAAAACTGTGCAATGTTGCTAACGTAGTATAGTTTTGCTGCTACCGTCATACAAATAGTTCAGTTGTTGTCACAGTCTAGCAATTCATTAACAATCTTGCACAATTGTTAGACACTGCAACAGATAGTGGGTTGTAAAATGCGTTAAAAACTCAAGACTTAATCTCCATTAGAGTCATAGTCCATGTAAATTTTGACTTAAACAAATGTTTACAACTACTGAGCTCACTAAAACAAATATTTTCATTGAGACATTTCCACGATTTACTACTTAATTATTTTCACGATCAACCAAACAGCCGATGATCAGGGCCAATTATATTCTGTCAATCAAAAGGGGGCAGAAAAACATGTCAGACTGCAACTCATACTGTGTGTGAAGAAAACGTCTAGTGTTGAAATTAGGGCTGTTTTGAAGTTAACAACTATAATGCATTAACAGTTAAAAAATAGTGACGTTAAAGCAGGCTCTTTTTTACCAGGGCTGGTAGGTTTATGGGTTTTCCCTACGCCAAACATTAATTGTAGTGTGCCTCCCATCTAATAATCGCAAAGAGCTTTGTTACTTCTAATAAGAAACAGTCAAATTCAAAACATTACATGGTGTTTTGATGCACTTAAATGTGACATGACAGATCGCTGTAGCTCCTCAGTTCAAGTTCTCCTCTTTCACTTTAATACAAGTTATTAGGACTGGGTGGTATTTCGAGTTTGTACAATATATCGATATATTTTTTTGAAACGATATGGAATGAGGCAATACCGTTTATATCGATACAGTAGTTTGATACAAGCACATCTGAAAAATAGTTGAGGACGCAGTGTGAGCTATCCTGCAGTGAAAGTACATAGTACAATTTGTCCTAAACATGAAATATGCCATACTGAAATTTCGAGGGGTGGCACAAGATTGGCAGCTTCAACACTTAATAAAGCATTTGAAGACGCGTCACCCCGCAGAACACGATGGCAGACGAAGGATGAGCCGCGCCAGAATCAACAATCTCTGGAAGCTTCATTCAAACGAAGAGAAAAGTTTTCAAAAGAAAGCCAACGAGCGATAAATATAACCGACAAAATTATCGGGTTTATTGTTCTGGATGACCAGCCGCTGTCAAAACTGAAATGCCGTGCATTTAAGAAAATTGTTTCTGGACTTTAAGTTTTAAAGAGGTCATTTTCTTATATATCATTTTTAAAATTTCTAGATTTATTTGTTGCAGTTATATTGTTATATTTTTTACAGTTATATTGTAAATCTAAAATACCTTTTTCAGTTTAAAGTATTAGATGTGTGGCTGCATTTTAAGTTCTTTTTCACTTAAGAAAAATAAATAATATATTGCTGTGAAATGTATGTCAGATAATAAAAATACTCTAGTTCACTGTATGTATTTGTTCATGTTTTATTAAGGGATAAGTCTGAAGCACACCATAAAATAATTCTATTAATTCATACAGGGCTAGTATGAATTGCAGCTGTATAGATACTGTACAGACCCAGGTATCGGATCAGTACTCGGTATCGGAATCGTACCGGGAAGGGAAAAAGGGTATCGGAACATCTCTATATAATAGAAAAATGTAGAAAGTACCGAGATATATCATATATCGCCATTTAACCAAAAAATACAGAGATATGATTTTTTGGCCATATCGCCCAGCCCTACAAGTCGAAACATATCACGTCTCATGTAATCGCTCAGTTTTTCAACCGCGGAAAGATGTCAATAAAACAGTTTGAACAATTAAATTAATAAATAAAACACATGTAACTTAAAGGGTTAGTTCATCCAAAAATGAAAATTCTGTCAGTAATTACTCCCCCTCATGTTGTTGGGGTTAGGGTTAGGTGTCACAAATGCAGGGACTGTGTAAGGGGCCGTTCACACATCGCGTCTAAAAACGCCTGGAAAGTGCGACCGCGCCACTCTCCTTTACACAAGCACTTGAGTCTGTCATTGCTATGCAACCATGAACTGCGCTGCTGAGGGCTTTCCATGATGACGAATAAGTATCAGCAAAGGATTCATTGATTTCTAGCCCTTGTATTAGCTTTACTTCTAGATATATTTATGGAGATGAGAGATAAAAACCCACCCTGTACAGCTATGATCAGCTGTTTGGGCCGAGCTTTCGATGTTACAGAAAGGCCGAAGCCGATTGTTGGTTTTTGTCTCATGACCTGCGGTGAGCTTGCAGCATTCTGAAAAGTTGAGATGTTCTCATCTCATCGTGGCATAGGCGGGCCTGGAAAAATGTGCTTCCATTTTGAGTATGCTTGCCGCGCGCCTGCATTTGAAATAACGAATTTACACGCGCAAAAAATGCGACATGTGAACATAAATGACGGTGTCAATAAGTCATGCGGAAAAATTGTGGCCACGTCGAGAGGAAACTAATCTTCAGTCATCTCATCTGAAACGAAAACGAAAATATTCTTCTGAAGATTAAAAGAAGATATTTTAGCCTACCTGTTTATTTTAGTCTGATCATTACATATAATGATTTTTTTTTTTTAAAAGCTTAATAAAAATAGCATTTCTCTAGGGAAATTTTATATTGCAAGAAATATCGTTATCGCGATACTCAACAACATCGCATATCGCATATTTTCCAAGTATCGTGCAGCCCTACAGGGCGGCTTTTAATTTCTCATCTCCATAATATATCTAGTAGAAAAGCTAATGCAAGGGCTAGAAGTCAGTTAATTTTTTTGCTGATACTTTTTGCTGAAGATAATTGCTGCCAAGACCGGCAACACGATAAATCTGATAAGGCACTGAAAAGCGCACAGAATACACTTCTGTGATAAAGTTTATCCGTCTTCGACTGCAAGAACTGGAGCGCGTCACAAATGAACCGAAACTCGGCGTATATATTATACTTGCCTCACAGACATGACAAATAGGCCTATAGACGGTCAAAATGTGTCTACTTTTAAACGAAACAATTAGAAATAAATAGTTTGATTATGTAATCCATATATCGCGCGCGCAGTCACTATTGCAGGAATGACGAGTCGGCTGCAAAGATGAATATGGCGATGCTAAAACACTCAGTAAGCACTTGTTTATTAATAAACAATTAAAATATCTCTTTGCTATTTTTTCCCCCGACACATTTTTTATTTTGCCAGTGCTTTGCGGCAAGCTTTATGCGCGCCAGTAGCCAGTCCCCAGTAGCCTATATTTAATTCAATTCACATTTATTTGTATAGCATTTTTCACAATACATATGCATTTTCTGTAAAGCTGCTTTGAAACGATGTCTAAATTACAATTTAGAGTGATCTGTTATCAGAGGTGACTATGTGTAATGCATTTCAATTAATTTTCCTTCAGTTTCATTGTTAAACAAAGCATTAAGTTAAGGCAGAAACAATGAGCTCATTGAAGTAAAGAATAGGCTACATGTTGTTAAATGATTAGGAAACATAGAAAACTTAAAGGGGTGATGAACTGAGAAATCAATATTTCCTTGAGCTTTTGACATCTAAGAAGTCATCATATTATAAGAATATCCTGTAAGTTTCAGAACTGAAAACGTCCTTGTTAGTCCAATAAAAGCTTTTATTGACACCAGGCTCAGCAAACGACTCGTTTTTCAAAGTGGGGAACTATGACGACAAAGATGATAAAACACCACCCCCGCAGAAGAAGATCAACGCCTACTTCAACACGGACGGTTTAGCCCCGCCCACCGATTAGCGCATTACACGAAACTCATTATAATATGCAAAACTGTTATCCACTCACAGCAGTGGGCGTTTACTTCCAAGTCTTCAATGCGAGACGCCCATAAAAACCGAGCGTTTTTGAGCTAGGCTCAAAACTAGGGTAGAAAATAGCCTATTACTTATTCATTTTGATGTTTTTGAATGTAAAAACCAAGCGAACGTCATAAGTTGACCTCAGACAACAATATAAAAAAAATGTAAAAAGCCAGTTCATGACCCCTTTAAGCATTGGTGCTTTTTTACAGACTCAAATATGAGTGTAAAAAGTTAACAAACTGAAAAAATATTTTTTTTTTGGATTGTGTAATATTGTTAAAACGGATGGTAACACTTTATTTTAAGGTGCTTGTAATAAGCAGTAATTAACAGTTAATAAGACACTTATAAGACCTTATAAGATGCATATAAGATGCATATAAGCATTAACTACTTCATATAAGGGTTAATTATAGGTCCAGGCCCTGAAGAGATCAGGGAAACTACTCCCTCTTGGGAAGGTCAATTTTTAAGTGACTGGGAGTTTGTGTTACCATTTATGTTTGTTCGGCTGTTCTAAAAGTGCAATGTATTGATACTTGAGAAATTTATTATTTTATTTTATTTATTTATTATCATTAGTTACATGCATCTTATATGCATCTTATAAGGTCTTATAAGTGTCTTATTAACTGTTAATTACTGCTTATTACAAGCACCTTAAAATAAAGTGTTACCAAACGGATTTCATAAAATTGGTATAGAAAAAAAGTATCGTTCAGGAACCGGTATCGAAGTCAAGGTATCGGTATCGAAAA